CCATTTTGCAAACAAGAAATGAGGAACACCAGCAGTTAAGTGTAGACATGTGAGCAGCAGAGAGGGGAACCAAGCCCAAGAATCCCTCTCTGCACCTGGACCACCATGGGCCCTGAAGATAAGGAAGGTACCTGCCCAAGGTGAGACAGGTCTAACAGCACAGCGTAGCACATGCACCTTTAAGCTTTGGGCAAGTCAGATGATCCCTTGAGCCAGAGGGTGCAAGCCACAGCCAACAGCCCAAATTCAGATTTAGATTTGTTTGCTCTCGAGTGTTTCAACGTTACAATCAGCCATCAACATGTTAAATGTGGTTTTTCAGCTTACAGAATCAGGCAGTGCTACACACGCAAACACTTTGTGGAGCTGACTGGAGGCTGACTCCATCTTCCTCATTTCCCTCTAGTTCTCACCATTCCCTATTGCCTTGCCCAAAGCCCTGCCTGGTCCCTCTCCATTTCCCAGGTTTTTACCCTAGGGCTTTGAGTTCATCATATCTAATTTAGTGAGTCCTAAATGCACAGGATGGCTGAGGCATCTCCACCCTGAGATTTTCCTCTAAGGTTCCTACCCCAACTCTGACACTCTGAGTTTAGGTGGCAGGGGAGAGAAGTGGAGTTTATCATTCACCTGATTCCTTCTGATAGCCTGAGGATTCAGCCATCAGCTTGAATGTGGAGCCAAGTGCCCAAGAATGACTGCAGGAGGTAGTGATGCTAACAACCTCTGCACCAAGAACGCAGCAGCTGGAGCAGAGCAGCCCACCTCCTCCGGTCTATTTTAAACTCTCAGCAGCTTCATTCGGGGAACGAAGGCATCCCTGCAGACCTCTGCGAGCCTGAGCTTGCATAATGCATGATCGGCCCTCACCAAAGATGATGGACATTTTTTTGACAGTTTAAGTGGCCCAGCTATATGGCAATAGCTTAGAGAGAGCTTATGACTCACAGAGCCTACCATAATGCGATTTTTTATCAGACTGGGGATAAAATGGCCATAAACTTGAGTTTGAAACCCAGAAACATGATTTGCTGCCTGTGAGGTGTTGGGTGAACTATAGAGAAAACTCTGGCCTTGGTTTCTTTATCTGATTCCCTACACTCCTGTATGGAGCTTGGTCGGTGCTGCTGGACTAGAAGGGCTAAAAAACTTAAAAGAGTAGCTGTGCACTGTTGCCTGCAGACTGGGTGAGCTTTGCTCCCATATATTCTTCCAGTGACATAAATTTATTGAATAGTCATGATCATACATAAGAGAAATGCTTCAAAAAAAAGTTCACAGAGACTGGAATTAAAGAATAACTTATTTTTGGTGCAAAAATGTTCATACATATGGGGCCTTCAACGAGTTCATGAAAAATGTACACCACACACACAAGAAAACCCCACACAGCTCAACATTTTTATGCACCAAAATAAACTCAGCTTTTGACACCACTGTTCTGCAAACCTTTCAAAGTGCCCTTGCACATGACTGGGGTCGTGATAGACACGACAGACCTTAGGTGTTTGCCCAGTCAAGTCTGCCGTTGGGTTTGCTTCCTATCCAATGATTACCCTCCAAAAGCCTTCTCAGGTCACAGGCTTTGGAGACCATGAAACAGAGTCCCATTTCAGGACAAGCTACTGGGAGGCACAAACAGAAGGGTCATGTCCTGCTGGCCCTCTCCTACTCCTGGACATCCTGTATTCTCAAAATCCCCCTATGCCTCTTCTGCCTTAACTAAAAAAAATAATAATAATAAATGGAAATGGCTAATCCCAAGTCCCTGGGTAACGATGAGGATTCAACATTCCACACATTCCAGAATTCTTCATAAATCTGAAAGTAAAACAGGTCCAGAATGTGCCATAGCGATTTTTGTTCAGGTGTTTCTTGATCAGGGACCTGCTTAGTGGTCTCCAACCCAGTCAACATGGATCACTTGACTTCATGGTAGACTCGAGGACTGCTCTCAGATTGTTAACTTACCATCTGCCTATGTTAGAACAGTGGTGGCTGGAAGCAGCTGACAAAGATCTCATCATGTCTTGAGACCAAGGAACAAGGCTGCTTTGGGTCTCAGTGAAAAGAGATGTGCTCAGGGCTTATGGGTAGGGCTGGACTCACACTGTGACCCAATGTGGACATCTGCTCTATTCCTTGGTGGCTCTGCATCTTCAGGGTTTCTTGTTGATTTTTTAAAAATATTTTGCAATTTTATTGGAAGGGCAAAACTACAGAGAAAAGGAGAGACAGAGAGAAAGATCCTCCATCTTCTGGTTTACTTTCCAAATGGTCACAAGGCCAGAGCTGATCTGATACAAAACAAGGAGCCAGGAGCTTCTTCTGGGTCTCCCACACAAGTACAGAGGTCCCAGGGCTTTGTGTTATCCTCCACTGCTTTCCCAAGTCACAAGAAAGGAAGTGGATGGGAAGTGGAGCCGGGACATGAACTGGTGCCCACATGGGGTGCCAGCATTGCAGGTGGAGCATTAGCCAGTTGAGCCACTGCAATACTTCAAATCTGCAGGATTTCTACAATGCCTGCTTACATCCCTGGTGAGATGCATAACTTGTGTTCATGTTTCTAATCGGACCTTATAGATGTGTTGCCTCAAAAATTCACTTTTATGTTCCACAACTTTTACAAAACTACTATTGGTTGCAAACAATTTGCTTTGGCATATCTATTTATCAAACCAGGATGACAGCATTGTGTCCCTTGGAGCCCTGTCGTTTGTGGGTCAGGAACAACTGACTGAGTTGATATTTGTTAGATGATAACCACGTGCCACAAGAAGCAGATACATCCTCCACTCCAATTCTAAACTTTTTAATACCCAAATTAACAGACTTTGAAAGAGAAATCGGATATTAGAAGGGGTTAATGGGGCCTAGGACTACAAAATAATGAAAGATTAAGAAGGAGCTCTTGTCAAAAGAAAACAAGGGCGGGGGGAGGCATGAGATATGGTCTCATGGAGGAGCAAATGGGTGAAGATGAAAATAAACCTTTTGAATACTTCTTGCAGGAGAGTTGGTAACACTCCTTGCAGGAGAGCCCTGGTCCCTCAGCTCCACTGTAGCCTGGGAAGGTGCAGATGGCGAGACAAGCAGATGGACAGGATTGGGAATAGCAGGGGAGGGGAAGGGAGGGAAAGAAAGCAAAGAGAAGCAATCTAAGTGGCAGGTTTGTTCGCACATGCTTACAGAGAGAAAAAAGACAGCCAAGCCCAGCGTAACATGACAGCCTGGCAGGACTGTTATTCCCAGAAGCTGGGACACTGAAATCTTTCAGCCGGTTTTATGCCTTAAACTCTTGGAGGGAAATTCTGCTAACAAAGCCTGCCCATGTTACATGTGCAACATAATAAAGAAATGATGCTTTCCTTTGCTCTGGTAAGACAAACTAGCACAACCTTTGTCTCCATGGCAGCTTGGCTGTGGTCACCAGCTGGAGCCCTCCACACTTCAGCTCTGATTTTCTCGCTGTACACATGTGCATATAACACGTGACCATGCGCATACATACAAGCATGCCGCATGAACACACACATACACACACAAACAGCAGCAACACAGCCATCTGGACAGGCATGTTCTCCCACAACACCTTTTTCTGTTCTCAGTTCTGACAGTGTAAACCCAAGAATCATCTGCCATCAAAGACGCCTGGATACTAAAGAGGCAGATCGAATTGAGGCTGGGAAAACGAGGAGTAGAAAAACATGGAGCAGGAGAGACGAGGTTGAGAAAGGAGAGTCAGAAAGCGAAGGAGAGCAGAGAGGGCTGACTCCTGCTGCTCCACTAACAAGCTGTCCTTCTAGAATTTGTTGATTGGAAAAAATCTATAATTCCAAATAAGATCATGGTCCACTGCCTTTGACCCCTGTTGCCTGTGGACGTGATGTTCATTTTCCCTCTGCAGGCTTGTACGATCACCCAGGAGAGAGACTGCTCAATTCTCCCCAACTCCCTTGCTATTTGCTGCAGGTGCACGGCATGCAAGCCTCAGGACACACCACTGCCAGCTCTGTACTTTGTATGTATGGCCTGAGAATCTTCCTTTAACGAGTTTCATAGGAGGAGCAGCAATATCTCCATATCATTGTATCTCTTAGCGTGGAATCCACAGCCTGGCACTCAGGAGACACTACATAACTGTCTCAATAAAGAATGAGTAAATAAATGAGTGTGTGGGTGCATGAATGGACTAGTTAAGCGGATATAAAAAGAAATGGATTATTACGAAAAAGTGTGAAAAGTAATAAAGAGAAAGATCAGAAGAGTAAGAGATGGGGAACTATGGGGAAGAGGGAAAAACGTTCTGAGCTGCGCAGGCCACAGGGATGTACTGGCTACTGGAAGGTGGGGTCTGTAACAGTGTGACATTCAGCCGAGCAAGCTGAGAACGCCTTGTGAATTACACGATTGAATTAAGGAACAATCTACTAATGCAATACTGCATTTATGACCTGGCTTCTGTAACGCATGTTTCTTCAATTTTCCATTGAAGTATCATGTTTCTGTTCTCAAAGTCTGGTAGTACTCTCAATCACTTATCTGTTGGTCCAGGCATCTGTCTACCCACTTACCCATCCATCTAGCCACCTATCTATCTCTCTGAGTGTCCACTCATCTGTCCACCCAACCACCCATACATCCGTCTATCCACCTGCTCACTCACTTGGCTGCCCATCCATCTGTCCACTCAGCCTTTGGCCCATGCATGCCCCTGTTCATCTTCCAAAGATTGTTGCAGGGCCAGCTGGACGCAGAACATCAGGTTCTACTCTGGGTTAGACATACATCATTGCTTTTGTGCTGAGCACAAGAAAATCACCCACTCTCCCAAATGAAAACACCGCAAACGCTCAGCACCTGACATCTTCACTGCTCCGAGGAGGCCCAAGGGTGCCTACAAGGACAGGTGTCACTGAAGGTGTTTCCTTGCACAGAGGTTGACACACAATCCAGCTGTCTAGACGGAGAAGCCACCCACTGGCCTCTGAACTTACCAGCTTGGTTTGTCGTGATGTTGACAGAGACATGTTGTGGGGGGAAGGGACTCTTGCTGGAGACTCCATTGATGGCCTGGATGTCAAAAGTGTAGGGAGTGTGGGCCCACAGGCTGCTGATGGAGACTCGGCACTCAGTCAAGCCCAGCTGCCTGGGGACAAACTCCACGTTGTCGTCGCAGCGTGAACAACTCCGGCGGTCGGCCCGGCACTTTTTGCAGATGATGTTGTAGGTCACATCATCCCGTCCCCCTGTCTCCCTCGGAGGGTGCCACTCCAGAATGATGGATGTCTCGTTGACGATTGAGATGACGTTGCGGGGGCCTGAAGGCACACCTGCAGGGAGACAAAGCAGTGCCATGTCTAGCATCTCCCTCTTCAGCCTCAATATGCCTGCTCACCACCCGCCTTCTCCCTAACCTAAAATCTCTGCATGCCCAAGTATGACAGAGACATCACTGGCCTAACATTCCTGATGGGCCCTTTCTTCTCTTAATCACACCTGCCAAGAGACAGTTGGATTCATGAATGTAAATCTAGAACATTTTGTTCTCAGGACATCCCCACATTTCCAAGGAAGATTTGGGGTCAATACATTGTGTGTTTAGGGGAAGGTATTATGGTGTAGCAGGATCAACTGTCATTTGTGATGTGTGATGCCATGTAGGATTGCCCTGGATAGAATCACACCTCCACCTTTGGTACACCTTCCTGTTGATGTGTTTGGGAGGCAGCAGGTGATGGCCCAAATACTTGGGTTCTTGCCATCTAAATGGGACACTTAGGTGGATTTTGTGGCCCTTGGCTTGAGCCTGGCTCAGGCCCAACTACGGTGAGCATTTTGGGAGTGAACCAGTAGATGGAACATCCGTTTGTGTGTGTGTGTGTGTGCCCTTCAAATAAATACATTTTTAAAAATAAAGTCCAATCTGCATATATTAGACATTTGCTGGATCTTGGGCTCCAGGGTGGAGGCATATGAGGCCTCTCCTAAAGCCCTAAATGATGCTGGAATCCTGCACGACATCCCACACAAGTTGTGATGTAGGTGCTGTATGCAAGATGGCAGGGCTGTTTGTACAACAGGATGCCCCAGCACACCTGCATCTATGAATACTCACATTGCACTGGCCAAGGTATAGCAAGACATGGATCTGAGGTGGGTGTGAGAGACTCACGCAGCTCTCGTTTCAGACTCAATGCAAGAGGAAATCACAGATATGTGTCCCTAGCATTGAGAAAGTAACTTTCCATGCACTGCCTCATTCCATTCTCCCAATATCCCTGCCAGGAAGACACAGCAAAGAACTCAGTTTTACAGAATGTGAAATCTAAGTTCAGAGAGAAAGCTGGCTGGATAATGTGGACCCTAAGAAAAGAGGGCAATAAGGAAGCCCAGACCCACCCGAGTTCACAGCTGATATTCTTAATTTTAGCCCCACTTCTGAACACTTGCCTACACACTCGCCTGGCTCGCTGGGATCTGGCTGGGAGATGAGGCGCAGCCTCTCTCCTCTGCACAGCTCTGTCCATGGCTGCTGTTTGCAATCTGGCTAGATCGGAAATGCCCTGTGGTACAACTCAGGAAACCCTGGCATGGTATAGCACAGCAAGAAAACATTGACCATTGAGCACAGGTGCTGGGACTGTTAGAGATGAAGTTGAAGAATTGTGCCCAACATCAGAACGGAACACAGATTCAAATTTGCAGACTGCAGACTAGAATATGCTCAATGTCTAACTGATAGGGGTGAACCCTGCCTGGAAGGCCTGCTTGTGAAGGAACAGCGAGCCACTCAGGGCAGCGCATGCAGAATTCACGCACGTGATCAGCGCCAGCTGAACGGAGACATGTGTAAGCACAATTCATGCTGGAGACAGGAATAAATGCCAGCACAGAAAATGAGGGAATAACAACAAGGTCGGGGGGCACCAGGGGAGGATTCTGTGTTGAATCAGTCATCGGCAAGCAGCTAGAGCAGAAAGCAAATATTAAATTGGATTCTATTAAAACATGAAAGAAAATCAGTACTGTACTATATAAAGCCCATTAGGCCAGAGCTAAAGCACAACATTCTCACACGCTCATGGCAGGCCAGAATTCATGAAGCGTTTTTACTCTTGCAGGAGGCATTCCAGAATCCCCACCCATCTGGCCAGGAATAAACACCCATCTCCCATCTCACACAGGGAGGGTGGCTGCAGCTGGCTCTGGTGGACTCCTGCTGGACCAGGCTGGCCTGGATTCTACCACACAATCAGGTCACAGGAGCATAAGTCCATACCTGACCCAGACAGGGCAGTGTACCTCAGGCTGATAAGACTTGGACCACAAACTTCATTGGCCAAGGCCGAGGATGCTGGTCTCCCATCCTCCCTATAGCCAGAGCCCAGCCTTACCCCCCATGCCATTGCTGCCCCTGTTCATCATAAGTACAAGAATACTTCAAAAGTATCATCACAAATGGAATTGCAAGACAAGCTTATATGGCCTCCAACATTTGAAATTCTTGTATATGAGAGGTCTTCAAAAAGTTTATGTAAAATCTATCTCATGGAAACAAATTTTCAAGTATTTCAAAACCTTTCCACACTAAAATAACTTACACTGTATGTTACGATTTTATGTATTTGTTTTAAGCATTTGACAGGCAGGTAGAGAAAGAATAAGAAAATGCTCCCACCTGCTGATTTACTCCTCAAATGCCTGTACTGACCCTCGGCTAGGGGCCTAAGTCAAGATCATGAAGCTCAATCCAGGTCTCCCAACTACTTGAACCATCACCTGCTGCCTCTATGGTTGCACAGCAGCAGGAATTTAGATTAAGGAATAAAGTGGACCCCGATTCTCTGATGTGGGATGTGGGTGTCCCAATTTGAATCTTGATGGCCAGGCCAAAGACCTGCTCCCAAGGAGCCTTGCACATTACTGAGTGCTTGTTCTATACGAGGCACTGAGTGAACTTTTTTAAGCTCTTGACTTGTCTGATCCTTTGGCACTCTGACGCTGCAACAGCAAGCAGCCCTGGGAGCAGGAACAGAGGTAAGTACTGACCAAGAGAACGATTCTATCCCTCTGGTCCTCTGCATGCCTCTAGGCTTTCATTTTTCCTCTCTCCCTTGAGCTCCAATCTTGCCCTCTCTCTAACTCCAGCCTCTCAGTTTGAACTCACAAAGTTTTTCTATCGTCAAACCCAAACAGCCTCACCTGTCTCCTTCCTCCATTGCAAGCCCTCTCATCATTCTCCAGCCATGTTTCCTGCCAAGGGAGAATCCAACACCACCTGCCTTCTACCTGCTCAGCCAAGTTACCTGATTATTCCCCCGCTCCTCTGCCATGATCGCTTTTCCTTGGCCTCCTACTTGACAACCCTGGGAAACAGCACAATTTTTCCTTTCCTTGGCAGCCTGTGTCATCACCAGCCAGGACCTAAGAGTCACACCTTCTTCATCCCCCAACACAGGGGTCTTTGTCACCACCTGTCAGCTCCATCTCCTTTCCTTTTTCTCCATCCCACCAGCCTCCGAGCTCTGGGGCTCACTGATGCTTCTGCCCCACTGAAAAACCCTCGTAATTAATTCTGCAACATCTCATCTGCATCTCCCCCCCGCCCCAGAGTCTTCTGAGTTCTAAACTGCACATGGGAGTGTGGTGTTGCTCTGATCCAGCCCCTCTGCCTCCAATTACACAAAACATCGACCCTCCTTCCCATGTCATTCAAGTCCCCTGTGGTCTTACCACTATTCATCTCACCTCCAGCCTGACCCTTGCCCCCAGTGTGTGTAGCCAGCAGGAAGGCTCCTGGGATTTGCTGTGCACACAGAACTCTCCTCTTCTCCCAAGTGCCTATGCCTCTGTGCAGCTATGCAGTGCTCCTTCCTCCCACTGGGTCCCATTTCACTCCTATCTACCTGATGAACTTCTGTTCATTCTTAGAGACCCAACACCTGCTCCACCTGCAGGCTGTCATATAATCCTTCCGTGAGCCCATTTCTAGGTGCTCAATCCAGTTTCTCTCTCTCTTTGTCATCCTCACCACTTGGACAGGTCTCTGGCTTGCCCCTGTAATTCTTATGCCCAAGGTTTGAGGACTGGAGGCTTCTCACCTGGCTTTCAGTTATGCTCTGTGCATAGCTGCTGGTCTCACACATACACCCACTCCAGTGTGAGACAGGGTGTCCTGCTGTGAGCGTGTGAAGGAGCTTCCGAGACACACTTAGACGGGGATGAATGGAGGCTGACGAACGAGTCTGAATCCTTTTCTTCTGAGGACTATTCCAAAGAGTTAAGAACAGAGACATGGGGCAGCAGAGCACTTGTCTATCTTACAGAAAGGGCAACTGTGCACACAGAAAGCTTCAATCAAAGTGTCCATGGAAAATGTGTCTAATGAAATAGTTATGCATAGACTTCAAAATATTTTGGCACCAAACTTGTCTTTTAATTCCACCCTCCAAAACTTTTGGAAGTCCTCTGATATTCTTCTTAGAAGTGACCAGAGTCTGGCTACAGTAGGGACCAGGCCCTCATTCATTACTCGTCTCCTCACTCCTTCAATGAATGCAGAGGGAATTCAAATAGCTGATGGAAAATGACGTCTCACACTCATTTGGGTGCACAAGCCTTTTGAAACCTAACCAATGTAGTTTTCACAACATATGCATTCCCTGTGGCCTTCTGGAAGATGCCTCTGCCTCCCTGCACTGGTCTGGCACACTTAAAGATGATGCTGCCATTCAGCTCACAGCCTCTCAGATAAAGGAGATGAGATCAGGTAACCTCTTCATATGTTGAGTCCTGTCCTTTCACCCCATAAGGAGAGTCCAGGCCTTGCAGCATGGGCCTTTGTCTCAGAGGTTAGAGTGACAATGGCAATGGATTAAGTGTTTGTGCTGCAGCAGGCTGATGACAGTACCTTCCTGTAGGGCGCTTGAGAGAGAGCAAGTGTGGTCCCTGTATAAATGTCCCCATGCAGATATGGCCTCCAGGCCTGGAGCCCTGTTTTACCCTCTGTAATCCGCCAGAACTGGGGTTCCCAGCAGCATCCTTCAGAGAGAGGCCAACTGAGATAACGTAACAAATGTATGAACAGGGGGTGGAGAGGAAAGCGAGAAGGAGTGGCGAACACCTGTCACCTCCAGCAGCCAATGCCCTTAGTAAATGCAGTGGCAGATCAGCACTGGGCTCTCCTTGTTGGAGTGCCCTGCTCACCCATCCTCTTCCTTAATTACCTACACACAAGCCTTTTAAGCCTCACTGAGTTATTGCCACTGCTACTACTGATAAACATATGTCCTTTAAAGAGCTTGGGGAATTTAATCGTTTCAAAGGAAGA